CCCCCCCCCCTCATCCCCTCTACATATGTACTGTCAATCTCCTGTCCTGGAAAATAAAAGAGAAGAAACATGACAGGGCGCGCGTTTGCAAGCCACTCGGCGTGCTGGCCCTCGCAGGCCGGATATCTGGAAGGCATATCGCGGCCATCATCAACCAGGTGCTAATTTTATTTTGTGTTTGAGAGAGGGCGCGTGCGCGCATGCCCAGAGAGATGGCCCCTCCCCTGCAGGCAGTCTCTAAAGTGGGCGTCAGGAGACAAGGGGCCAGGTTTTTTCTTCTTCTTTTGCGCAGGTGAAAACAAAAGAGCAAATGAGCACACGCGCCAACCGGCGAGAAAGGGTGAAAGGAGATGCAAGCAGGAGGAGAGGGGGGGGGGGGAACCTGTCTGCTGACGGGATTCACCCGCTCTCCGTCCACTTGACCCCTTTCCCGTGGTGATTAGTCACTATCCTCGTCATCGCTGTCGTCCCCGAGCTGGTCGACCAGTGCCTTGAGCTGCGGGGGTATGCGTGGTCCCCATGGGAGGGACAGCAGGTTAGCAGTCGGCGGAACGGGGGGGGGGGGGGTGAAAAGAAAAAAAAAAAAAGAGAAAAAGCAAGAACACTCCCCCTCTCCCTCGACGCTCGGTAAAAATGATGAAAAGCCGGCACACGCACGCTCTCGAGACTCCGGGAAATGGCCTCCGGGCAGTCCGACCCGCTCCGGCGCAGGCGGTGCGCGTGCCATCCGATGAGATGGTCATCCGACACCAGGTCGTTGTCATACAGATAGTAGAAGAAGGGCACTGCCAGGCGGGGGCTGGCGAAAGCACGCAGGAGCTCAAACTGTCCAACGAGCACCATTGGGTCAGCAATCTGGGGGCAAATGGAGCGACAAAGGGGGAGCCCACGCGAGAGAGACCCAGCAAGCGAAGAGGGGGGAGGGGGGGGGGCGGGACCGGTTGCGCACCAGCAGAGTATCCATGGCGCCGACGATCTCCTGCGGGGTGCTGCCGATGAACTTCGACATGACATCCCCCCAAGCGAGGACGCTCTTCTCCCAGTCCTTGCGGAAGCGAGCCGCCTCATTCTGAGCCAGAGTAACCAGCTGCTCGGCAGACAGCTCCTCCACCTCCTCGTCGGTGATCTGGTCACCGAGGTAGTACTTCTGGAGGTCCGCCGTCCCGGCCACATGCTGCAGGATGGCCCGCACCACGGGGATCAGGCACTGGGTGATGGTCTTGTTGTAGGCATACTTGAGGCCATTGATCTCCAGCAGGATGTTGTCGCAGGAGAAGTTCGACCCAATGGCACGAAGCATAGTTTGCACACCCTCGCGGATGAAGACTATCTCGCAGGGGGAGGGGAGGGCGAGAGAAGGGCGCATCCGGCCAAGGGGCCGAATCCAAGGGGATGGGTCAGTCGGAAGAAGGGAGCACATTGGCGCTTGTGCATACCATGACGCGCACCCTCATGCTCATCCAGATGGTCGTCGAAGTCGTCATCGTCATCGTCATCATCCTCCTCGGAAGTGGCATACAGATGCCGGCAGACCTCCGGATCGTCAGGCGGCGGGATGGTCGCACTGCCGGTGAGCGGCTGTTGCCAGGGCTCGAAGGCCGGCGCAGCCGAGACGCTGTCCTCCACGCCGGCGACACTGCCCTCATCGTCGGACAAGTCGCTGTCCGAGTCATCCGACTGGCCGAAGCTCAGCTCATCTGGCAGCAGGTGCCGGGGGATGGTGAAACCACGGCCACATGGGCCGACGTCGGCCACCGAGCCCGCTGGCGCCGGGACCCGAACCACAAGGCTGCCGGTGCTGATGGCCTCCTTGCGGGCATGGGTGGCGGTCATGGCGGCCTGATGGCCGCTGATGGTGGTCGGCGCATCGGTCGGGTCGAAGTTGTTGAACTCGTCATCGGCCGCCTCGGCGTCGCTAGCATCGCTGGCCGAGGACCCCCCACGCAGGGGAGTGTACCGCTCGTCGCCAGACCCATCGTCGGACTGGGAGTCATCGTCATCGCTGCAGGGAGGGGAGCCAGCGGCGTCATCCCCGTGCGAGTAGCCCAGCAGGCGGGTACCGGTCTTGAGAGTGACCCCACTGTCAACGATGACCTGGGCAGGGGGCGAACAAGTGAACAGGTGAGCGAATGAGCGAGTGGGCGAGAGAGAGAGAGAGAAGGGGAGACAGGAAGGGGAAATGGCAAGAAGGGAGCAAGTAAGGTGTCGGCCCGAGGATGGGGCCTGGGGAAAATGGGAATCGAAGGAATCCTGGCAATCACACGGGCAAAAAAAGGGGGGGGGGGAGAAATGGACAAAGCGGGAAGCAGCCCCGAGGAGGACGTACCCCGGAGCCCAGCACGCAGTTGGCCTCAATGACGGCACCGTCGCGAATGACCACCCCCGGGCCGAGGATGGAGTCGACAACATGGACACCATCACCGATCAGGACTCTTCCCAGCAGGTAGGACCCAGTGATGGAGGTGTTGTCGCCGATCTGTGACCCCTCACCAAGGACGGAATCTGCCACGCGTGTGGCCGATCCAACACGCACACCTCGGCCGATGACCACATTCTTCACCAACTCCGAGGAATAGGCCAGGTCCGGGTGCAGCGGCGAGCCCGAGGGGAGAGACACTTCCAGTGACAGGCTCGACGCGGGCTTATTCTTGTCATGGGTGGTCGACAGGCAGTCGTGGCTCGGGAGGATGCCCTGCTCGCGGTACACCAGCCGATGGTTGCAGATGTAGTGCGTGCGCGCGGAGAAGTTGGTATCCGGCACCAGGGGGAAAGTCCACCGGCCAATGACATCACGGCTGACCGCATCGTATGACCGGAGGAAGCGGATAGGCGCGGCGTACGAGCTGCCGGCCACCACATGAGCAAAGATGTTCATGGTCAAGATATCCGAGGTCAGGACGCCGCGCACCAGGTCCCGGCGAAGGTCACGATAGTCGAAGTTCTCCGTGGCCAAGGCCAGCACCTCGAGGGAGATGATGTCGATGCGGGTGTCAATCAGGTCATTGCGAGCCTCGAATGCCTGGCACTGGCCCAGCTTCTCCAGCGACAGAGAGGCATACTTCTTGCCGGGCGAATCCTGCGAATCCATCGCCAAGATCTCGCTGGTATCGCTGTTGAGGAACACGACATACTCATCACCGATGGGACTGCATCGTTGGGGCGGGCGGGGGAGGGCGGACAGAGGGTCAGGAGGGGGCCGACGGAATGCCGGGCAAAGTGGAAGAGTCATACCGGGTGCGATGGTTGACACCAACCTTGCGGAAGACACTGGTCATGACGGCATTGCGGTTGGTGCGGCGACGCTCGCTGAGTGGGAGATGGGAGGAGATCGGCACAGAGTGGGTTAGCAATGGGTGGAGGTGGCGCGCGGGTGGGGGAGGGCACTGGCTCGCTTGTTGACTCGGCCTGGGACCCGGGCGCACCGATGCTGCTGCAGGACCTCGGCGACGTTGATGTTGAAGACGACCAACGATGAGAGAAGGATGATGTCCTTGGTGAAGAGGGACTTGGAGTCCAATTCGCGCAGGGCATCGCCGACGCTGCAGCGCTGTGGGATGGTCACCACGCGGATGCGCATCAGCGAGGTGGTCTCGTCCCAGCGGGAGCTCCTGGGGAGGGCGGCGAAGGGAGGAAGGTGTACGGAGGTCAGCAGCCGGAATCGGGGAGAGGGGCACCGGGCTGGAGCCATGCACTTGGGCGGTCTACGCACTTCAGGTACTTGCGGATCTGGGACACATGCATCGAGCAGACGAGGAAAACCTCCTGCACACCGGCCATGGCCAGGGACTCAAGGGTGTACTCAATGATTGGCACATTGGCCAAAGGCAGCAGAGCAGGGGAGAGGCCGTCATCGCCGGCGGCGTAGCCCTCGCCGCGCAGGAGCGGAGCCCAGTACGCCTGGTCCACGTCGGCCAGCACAACCGCCTGAATCACGCTGTCCGGGTCGACGGCGGTGATTTTCCCGCCGAAGGAGGACCCGAAGTAGGATGAAGACATCGACATGGTGACGATGGGAGGGGCGGGG